CGAACCCCCCCCGCACCGCGTCCCGCCCTGCCTCGCCCGGGCCCGGCAAGGGGCGGGAGGCTTCCCCCAACGTTCCCCCCTGCCGCCGGCTGCCGCGTTTGAAAGGGCCGCCAGGGCGGCCATGGCGGAGCCGCCCGCCCGACGCGCCGCGGGGAGGAGCAGGAAGCGGCGGCCGCGCCGCGCCGCAGGAAGCGGGCACCGGAGAGGGGTGTGAGGGGGCAGGATCAGCGGCGGCACCACCCCCCGCTCCGCCCTGCTTCGCTCCGCTCCGCTCCCGCCAGCCCGCGGCGCCGGGGCTCCTCTGCGGTGCTGGGCAGTCCCCGGGGTGGAGGGGCCGGCCACGCTGCCGCCGCCAGGTGGCGCTGGGCGCCGGGGCGGGCGTGGCACGGGCCTGGGCCCTAAGGGGAGGCGAGCGGCACGGCTCGGCCCGGGCCGGCGGCGGGAAGCCGGTTCGTGCGGTCATGGCGTGCGGGGTCGGGGCTTGTGCCGGTGTGGAAACCCGTGCGGGTCTGGGTGTCTCTCCCCGCGCCTCAGCGAACCTGAGTAAGGGGGTTCGGTCAAGCCAGTCTCCCCCCTCCCCCCCCCTTCGGGCGGGGATCGGTTGCAGGGTGTCCCGGGAGGGCCGAAGGCTGCGGCACCGCACGCCAGGGCCCAGCGCGGCCTGGAGGTGCCTCAGGTGCAACGTGATGGCGGTGTTTGGTGGTGGTGGTCGGCTGTCCCCTTCCCGTCGTATTGGTGGTTCTTGGACGTCCCCTGCACCTCGTGATGGAGGTTCTCAAGGCTGTCCCCTTCCCCTCATGTTGGTCGCGCTTGGCTGTCCCTTTCCCCTCATGAAGGTGGGCCTCGACTATCCCCTTCCCGTCGTATTGGTGGTTCTTGGACGTCCCCTGCACCTCGTGATGGAGGTTCTCAAGGCTGTCCCCTTCCCCTTGACTTGGTGGTTCTCAAGGCTGTCCCCTTCCCCTCATGTTGGTGGTTCTTACGACTGTTCCCTTCTCCTCATGTTGGTGGTTCTTGGCTGTCCCTTTCCCCTCATGTTGATGGGTCTCGGCTGTCCCCTTCCCGTCGTATTGGTGGTTCTTGGACGTCCCCTGCACCTCGTGATGGAGGTTCTCAAGGCTGTCCCCTTCCCCTTGAGCTGGTGGTTCTCAAGGCTGTCCCTTTCCCCTCGTGCTGGTGGTTCTCAGCTGTCCCCCTCACATTGCGCAGGGTGAGGGCTGTGGGGCCAGCGTCCCTGCGTCTGCTGCAGCGCGGAAGGATCAGCCGCCTTTCACTGAAGCGAAGGACCAAGAGTGGAGATATAAAATGTCTAGGTTCAGTTTTTTGGTTGACAGGGGTTTGAAAGGTATTAGAAACATTTCCACTGCTTCTGCTACCCCCAAAAAAATCCCACTGTAAAGTGGGTTTAGTTTTTTTTCACAGAGGTGTTGGGAAGCCAAAATCATCATTGTGTGAAGCTGAGGTGTGCTATCAAAGACAGAAATAAATATGTGCCCTTTCTCTCAGCCCACTGAGTAGATAAGAACATCTAGATCCACATAGACATAGGATGTTTGTGTTCCTTTACCCATGCAGGTCAGACCCTGCATTGTGTTTCATTACAACTATAAACATTTACACTCTAGTGCTGGAAAAAAGTGTCCAAGTGTCAGTTGCCTATCTTAAAATTTTGTGTAAAGTTATGCTTCCCTGCAATCTCTGTGTCTGTTCCTTTTTCATCTCCATCTACTAAAGTAACTTTCAGCAAGGATCCTGTGAAGTCCATCTCTTAAATAAAGTTTAATGGGTGCTAGTTTCTGGAGCCATCGGTAGAAGAGTAGAGCAAGTAGGCTGTTATATTAAAGCCGCCTTTCGAGCTTCCATTACCCTAAAAGGTCTTCTGCTTTGTATCATAAATATTTGTAACTTGTGGTCATAACTACCAGCCAGCTGTCCTCCAGCCTTGGAACAGCAACATCTTAAATGTAACTAAGGTGTAATAAACTTAAATAATTCATAATTTTTCATCATGACTTTATAATAAATGTGTGTTTAACGGTCTGGAATGATTTTAAACACAATAATGTTCAATGCAGTCTCTCTTTCCGTGAAGTTTACCTGACCTCTATAGCTTTCAGGGGCCCAAGGAGAGACTTATGCATATACTTGTCTTTATGCATGGGGTTGTATCTCGAGTGCCAGATCTTCAGCTGATATAAACTGTCACAGCTCTGTTGATTTAAATAGGGCCAGTGATTTACACAAGTTGAGGATCTGACTCACAGACCTCAGTAGGACTGTTCACATATTCAAAGGTAATAGAGTGTGTAAGTGTTTGCAGGCTCAGAGCTGATTCACTTGGAATTTTGTCCTAGTAAGAGCTAAGCAAAGAGTAGTTATGTTTAATACTAGGGAAATATCCATTGCTAACATGGAGCTGTTGTAATTTACCTACCTAATGTCATATATATGAAATCATGTTAGAAGCTCAGACAGTTTTTCAACTGAAACATCATCATTTATAATAGGTAAGGTACTCATTTTTTATATTTCAGATCAGATGCTGCTCTTATGCCAATGTGAAAACAACCTTTAAATATAGGAACTCGGTGCACTGTATAACTAAGGAAAAAAGATTGTGAGTATAAATAGCTTTAAAATAAAAGTTTAAATACTTGGTCTGATTATATTTTGTAATACTTCCAGTGAAACTTTGTGCAGAATATAAAAATACTGCCTGTGTCATCTGACTCCTTTGATGCCCTGCATTAAAATTCCTATGTCTAAGTACATATCATGGAGTCAACTTTATTTCTCTTCTATTAATAGTTTGAAATTAGGTCACCATTCTGGTGAGGATGGGCTAAGCCTGTACAATTGATTTTAAAGAAATTACCTATATAAAAATGTTGGTTCGTGGGGTTTTTTTTGTGTGCTTGCCTGTAGTGACAATGTTCCTTATCTGTAATCAGTAATTTTACTGTCTGTTTTGGCATATGTATTCTATGCTGGCAGGTTTTTCTAGATTTGTTTATAGTGACCCCTGCTGCAAAAGATTAAGACTGATGTTTCTTTAAACCTTTAAAAGGCATTTATCTAATTATTTCAGAGTTCAGTTCAAAAGAACCAACCATTTGTAAATTCAAGTTAAATATATAAAATATGCAGCTCCCTAATTTGGATAAATTTCAGTAAAATTGACCTAATCATACGAGGCTTTTTTTTCCTCTCTTACATGTGTAGGATTTACTTTCTAATATAGTTACAAAGTGAAATAGCTTTTCATGTCCCACATGTAATCTTGTTCTTTATGTTATTGTTCTTTGATAAGGGCTAGGCTTGACACTGATAAATCACTGTCTGAACTGCTGCATGTTAATATTTTTAGAGCTCCACTCAGGAAAGCACATGCTTTCAGGATAGCAAAATAGTAAAAAAGCAGATTAAAGCATAGGACTAAGTTTAAACACAGATTACCCCTCTTGGTTTCAGAAGGACTTAAGTGTCAGTCTGTTCCAGTATTGCCCTGAATAGAATGCTTTCCCAAGCTCAGGCTTAAAAATTCTTCAGCACGAGGTATGGGTATGTGCTTTTTTTGCAAACAGAAGAGCCACCAATGCTCTGTGCTGGCCAAAAGCTGTGTAGCCATAACTAGTGCTGCATCTAACCTGAACTAACGGGCCCTGCTAACGGAGAGCGCATGAGCTGCAGCTTTATGCTCTTATGGCTTCCTTGCAGGCTGCAGGCTGGACAGAATAGGCATATACTTGCTTGCAAAAGACACTCCAGGTATAACCACAGCGAAATCTCTCATCTAGGTTTTAGTATAAAAGTTATCTTACAAATAAATACTCCTGATATGGTTTTTTAAAGCTATATTTAAAGAGTATTGTTTAGGTTGCAAAGCCAAGCAAAAAGCCATGCTTTTTTTGTGTAATCTTTATGCTG